AACGGAACTGAAGTGGTGTCATTACTATATTAGAATTGCGAAACAGGTAACAGATAATCCCTTGCAATGCCACTGCTTCAGCAACCATTGACTCTTGCTTATTGTTCCTTTAATTTGAACTCAGTCGACCGTGAAATATAGATTCAAGGTCAGCAGGGTGTTAGGAGCTCGTTAATTAGCCCGATACATACAAACAATGTGACTGTCTTTTAGAACAATAACAAAATAATAGCAATCTTGTTAATTTTGAAATACTGTTATTTGTCATCGAGGCATGCTAGTCCAAGCATGACTCATTTGGGTAAATATGTTCGAAACTTTGCGGTTTAGAAAGTATGAAGGTTTGCCCAGGGGGAGGGGGACTCACTTCAATTTGTTGTTTTGCTGAATATCCCAAAGATGTCAACAATAAAAGGTTTGTTAGAATTATTATGTTAAAGATTGGTAAATCGCAATTATTCAACTACGTATGTTGATCTTTTTGTATAATCCTAACATAGCGCACATATGTATTATTATACAAATTACGCTATCTTAGTTTGTTTACAAATGCTTTAATTGCCATCTTAACTTTATTGATATGATATTTAAAAAACACCCACAATGTATTATGATTTTAATGCATTTTTCTCATACTCTGAAAGGGGTCCTTAGAAATGAAATTCCAGTTTCTAGTTTATCTCTCTCTCTCTCTCCCACTCTCTTTCTATATCTATCTCTTTCTCTACTAGTATTATCCCTCTTTATATTCCACATACTAAGAATCTTGCTCTACGATTAGTCAAAAGCAAATCACGTGATAAAAGATAGTTCGCCCATTATTGATGGGATAAGCAAAAAGTTCGTTACACTGTGTAGATAGTACTGATATCTATACAGTGCAACGCACTTTCACTGAAGATAAAGGTACTATCTACACAGGGCAACGCACTTTCACTGAAGATTATCCAAAAGCGCACTAAAACAGGCGTACTTAAGCGCGCATTACCAATGAGCACAATCAAAGAAACCACATACGCGCATCGTACCCTCAAGGGGTTAGGTTAAACTTAAAACTTTTTTGGTGTGAATTTGGGCCTAGGTGTCTTTTATGTAGATGCATACACATCCTTTTCATTTTGTAGTTAAATTGTTTTAGATATTGAATATAAAGCAAATAAACACCTTTTGGATTCAGGTGATGGCAAACTATCACTTCCCCGTCGATCAGAATGTATACGCTATCTTTCCTCAGCTTCGATTCGAAAAGATAGCTACATCCAGATCACCTCGGAAGTGATAGTTTGTCCCATCACCTTCACAAACGGTAATTATTTGCTTACTCCATCTGTCTATGTATCTGTATTCGTTTTCCGTAACCCATTTACCCCTCTCTCTCTCTTATCTTTTTTTCTCTCTCCCTCTCTCCGTATTTTCTCTCTTTCTCCTTCCCTTCCTTCTCTCTTTCTCTTTATCTGCTGATGTTTTTTTTTTAATATTTAAAGAAAAACGTTTGTTAATGTACACTTTGACTACGTGCTATGGCAGAGTGCGAAGCCAGTGGAGCCAGTGGAGCGAGAATTCTGAGGAGTGAAAAATTGCTAAATATAGAGCTAAATGTTGGACTCTCATCCTGCTCTTCATCATATCTTTATCTACAACTTCTTATAGAAGATATCTGCGGAATGTAGGATGTATAGAACTTTGATTTAGCTTGGAGAATATTGGATTGAAAAGTGAGACATCTTCAAACTGGTCTTCCTTTTTATCTTCTGGTCCCATGTGCTGGTATTTATGGGGTTGCTTTTAACTGAGAGTGCAGTTCACATTGGAATTAGAGCTACACTGAAACATGTGCACTGAACTTCCGATGGTCTATTCAAAGGAATAGGTGAATTCTCTTCATTCTACACACCTGTATCAGTTGAATGCACATTGGACTTCGTTATCATCACAATGGCTGCATCACTTAATACAAGACAACAAGCTGCTGTAACTAGTCAGGTAATAAGAGACTTAGTCAAGAATGATGAATTCACTAACCTCCTGGATGCCATTGTTAGTAAAGCTATTGATAAGAAAATGGGTGAATTTCTTACTTCAATTGAGAAAATCCAGGGAGATATGTTTGATGTCCTGAAGAACCTTGAGGAGAAAGAGAAAGAAGTTATACACCTGAAAGAAACAATTGTTCATCAACAGCATGATATCAACCGAATGGAATCTGCCATCAATGCAATGGAACAGTACTCTAGACGATCAAATATCCGGATATTTGGTCTGCAAGAAAAGAAAGGGGAAAACACAGATGCCCTTGTAGCTGACGTCATCACTCGCAAGCTTGGTGTAACCTTGGATCCAGTGAGAGACCTAGATCGCACTCACCGTACAGGAAGGCTGCATGACAACAGTGAGCCATCAGCACCAGGTACATCGTTGACAGATGCTTCATCAGCTAGGAAGGCCCGATCACGTCCCATAATTGTCAAGTTGACAACCTACAGGAAGAGGAGAGAGGTCATCTACAATAGAAAGAAATTGAAAGGAACAGGGATAGTAATTGTCGAAGACTTGACAGTTGAGAATCAGAAACTTCTGTCTGCAACACGTAAGACTTCAGGTGTCACAGCTGCATGGTCTTCCGACGGTCGAATCATTGCTCTTATCAACGCAACCGGAGGTAAGAGCATCACCAAACTTATTGCAAGTGAAGGAGATCTGAAAAACATTAAAACACATTCATGATGTACTGTATAACACCTTGTTGGAATGTCTCACTTCTACAACTCATGCAGCTTTTTTTTATAAAGCAGACTACTAAAATATACCAATCCATTCCTCCGATACCTATATAGGCATTTTATTTATTTTACATATTCCATTTTTATGTCCATTTTTATGTACGATTTTAAATACATTTTTTAAGTACATTTTTAAGTACATTTTTAAGGTGACTTAGCCTTTGTTCAGTACTGTTTGTTTGTTTTCTTGAACATCAATTTTTATTTATTTTTTTTTTTTTTTGGTTGTTGTTAAATGTCTACCTGTAACGATTTGAGAGAATGCATAAGTAAATGCAACCATGACTTAAACACCTTGCATGAATTTTTATCGCTTGATAATATTGATTTTTGTCCTTGTAAGAAATATTTTACACCTGATGAGTTTAATACATACATTACAAACAAAGCAAAATCTGCAAATCCACTTTCATGTATCCATTTTAATTCAAGAAGTCTTCTTCATAGTTTTGATAATATCACTGAATTCTTAAACAGTGTGAAACTAGAGCCTACAGTACTATGTGTCACAGAAACCTGGTTCCAGGAGCACACCATACACCCTTTGTGTAATATAGATGGTTATGAATTTGAAGGCGTTAGCCGCTTGTCAAGAAGGGGTGGAGGAGTTGGGATTTTTGTAAACAATAATGTGCAATATATAAGACGTCCCGACTTAGAACAGACCGATAGCTGTATTGAAAGTGTATTTGTGGAAATTGTCAATAAGAATTCTGGTAAAATTGTTGGGTCAATTTATAGGCCTCCGGATCAGTCTGTTGATGATTTTTTAGAGAGATTCTCAAATGTTTTTAGCGTTGTAAATAGGGAAAATAAAATAATTTATTTATTAGGTGATTACAATATCAATTTATTGAATGTAGGTAAAGTGCAACATGTTGATAATTTCATCAATTTACTATTGTCGCATCATATGTATCCGTTGATAGACCATCCTACCAGAATCACTGACGACACAATTTCTTTGATTGATAATGTAATTACTAATAATGTAGACAATGTTGAATCAGGAATATTTATAACAGACATCAGCGATCATTTACCTGTATATTGTATTAGCTGGAATGATATTCAATCCCAGCAAAATTTGAATAAGCCATTAAGAATAATCAATGATAAAAGTATAAATTGTTTTTTAAGATCCCTTCAGATGGTCCAATGGTCTTGCCATAATAACAATCCAAATGTAAATTATGTGCAATTTTTAGAGAGGTTTTTAAATGTATATAATCTGTGTTTTCCTTTAGAATGTTTGAAAAAAACACCTGAGTGGTTTTACGCAAATAAAATGATAATCAATGTAGCAAAAACCAGTTATATTATTTTTAGTAATTTATTGATACCAGATTATCTTTCAATTAGAGTGTGCAATACAGATATTAAGTGTGTAACGTCAGTAAAATTTTTAGGCATTACAATAGATCATAAACTTACATGGAAAAATCACATTGATAGTCTGTGCAATAAGCTGGCAAAAAATATAGGAATAATGTATTGTTTAAGATCATTTCCAAAGGAGATTTTAAAAATGATTTATTATGCAATTGTGTATCCGTATCTTAATTATGGTATTCTTGTCTGGGGTAATGCAAGTAATAATCACATTGATAGATTGTTTATTTTACAAAAACGTGCAATACGAAATATGTCTCATGCACCTTACCTTGCCCATACCAACCCTTTATTTATTGAATCAGGTGTTTTGAAATTTCATGATATATATGTATTTCAGGTACTTATATTTATGTACTTATGTAACAATCACCTCTTGCCAGACTATATTAAAACGTTCTTTCAGTTCAATAATGAATATCATGGATACAATACAAGAAATGCTAATGATTTTCATTTACCCAAACCGAGGCTCTCATCTTTTAAAAACTCAATATTATTTCAAGGACCCCAAATTTGGAACTCTCTTTCTTCAGATATTAAACAAGCAGTTTCGTTAAATGTTTTTAAGTCAAAATCTAGGCACTTTATTTTAGACAGGTATTCACCAAGTTTGTTTGTTTAAATGTATAGGTATACCCCCCCCCCCCTTTATGTTGTTGTAAGTGATTTGTTATTTTTTGTAGCGTCCTTAATGTATTATGTTACAGGGTCAGCTAATCACAAGGCTTGTTCCTTTCTTGCTGTCCCTCTCATACTTAATCCAAATGTATACTTTGTTATTAATTTTTCTTGTGAATTTTATCCTTTGTATCATGTTGATTTATGATGGTGTCTGGCCGGTTGGTTGAAGACCTAACAAACTGCTACCGTAGTGCCGTAGACGAGTACAGCCAGCGACGTGCACGGGTGGGAGGACTGCAGATATGTTCACTACATTCAGCAGTTGCTTCCCCTACTGACAACACGCCTTGCCAGCGTGTCAGTATATGGCAAAAAACCCTCATGACAATTATGGAAAGACAACTTAAAGGAGGCCGTAAAGCCCATGGCCATAACGGGCGCAACACTCAGAGTTGCAAATTGACCAGTAAACGCATTGAAGAGGATTCTTTTGATGAAGTTTTACAGTCAAAGCCAAATGGAAGCTGTAAGATGGAGGGATGCAATAAAACTGGCCAAAAATCTGAACTAAATATTTGTACATACAATGTTAGAACCTTGAGAACCGAGGAAAGTTTAGAAAGTTTGTTGGATGAACTAGAGGGATTCAAATGGGACGTCATCGGGCTTGCTGAAACGAAGAGACAAGGAGAAGGATTGACAGAACTTAAAGGAGGCACATGGCTCTACAACAGGGGAAAAACAGATGATGACAAAAATGCAAAAGGAATTGGATTTCTAATCCATAACAAACTTAAGGACTATGTGAAAGGAGTTAAAAGCTATTCAAACAGGGTAGCAGCCATGAAAATACAACTGACGGGAAAGGATGAAATGTGCATCATACAAGTTTATGCACCCACAAGTGATTATGATGATATAACAGTGGAGGAATTCTATGAAGATATCAATAAGGCCATTACAGACAATTCGGGTACCTACACAGTACTTATGGGTGACTTCAACGCGAAGATCGGACAACGTGAACAAGGGGAAGAAAATACCATGGGATCATTCAGCTACGGAGAAAGAAACAGGAGAGGTGAAAGGATGATAGAATTTGCAATGGAACATAAACTTAAAGTGACCAATACATACTTTAAGAAACACAAGAGTCGTTACTGGACCTGGGAGAGTCCAAATGGAGTTACTAAAAACCAGATAGATTTCATACTTAGTAACCAGCGAGGGATAGTCAAGAACTGTGAAGTCATCACCAATGTAGATATTGCAAGTGATCATAGAATGGTCAGAGTCAATATCAGCATCAACAAGAAACTAGCCAGGCTTAGATTCATTCAAAATAATAGGAAGACACGGATTAGCATCATGAAGCTGAAGGAAAAGAAAGAAGAATTCCAACTAAAGCTTCACAACCGATTTGATGGATTAGAGTTGGAGGATATGGATATTGATGAGCGATGTGATATGGTGACATCAGCAATGCTAGAAGAAGCCAAATCTGTAGCCCCAACTGAGAAAAGAAAGATAGTAAGATCGGAAGAAGACAAAGAAATAGAGGAACTAGATCAAAGAAGAAAGGAAATACGACTGAAAGAATCCAAGACAACAACAGAAAAAGTGGAGTATGCAGAAATAGTCAAATTGGTGAAAAAGAAACGACGCCAAAGGAACAGACGAAAAAATTCTAAACTCATTTTAGAAACTCTAGAAAGCGGAAGGGGACCAAAAACAATACAAAAGATGACAAGCAAAAAATCAAGAATGAGCAAATTGAAGCAAAAAGATGGAAATATAACTTCTGAGAGATCGGAGATACTAGAAATATGCGCCGATTTCTACCAGGAACTTTATGGTTCAACGAAAAAACAACCGAAGGATCATACAGATATCGCATCCAGAAAATCAGACATACCACCAATACTACAAAGAGAAGTTGAGGAAGCTGTAAACAGTATGAAGGACAACAAGGCACCGGGAAATGACGAAATAACAAGTGATATTATCAAACATGGAGGGGAGGAGACAATCACACAGTTAATGAAACTATTCAACCAGATATTAGAAAAGCAACATATTCCAACCACTTGGAAAGAGGCAAAAATAATTCTGTTATACAAGAAAGGTGACAAAGCTGATGTAAAAAACTATCGCCCTATCAGCCTTCTATCTCATCTGTACAAGATCTTCACCAAAGTAATCCAAAATAGAATCAAAGATATATTGGACACAAATCAACCCAGAGAACAAGCAGGGTTTAGAGCTGGATTCTCAACAACAGACCACCTACAGGCTATAAATCAACTCATTGAGAAGGCAAACGAGTACCAACTTCAACTATGCCTCGGATTCGTAGACTACCAGAAGGCGTTTGATTCCATCGAACACACAGACATGTTTAATGCCCTACGAAAGATTAACATTGAAGAAGGGTATGTGCGCATCCTGGAAGATATTTACACCAACGCAGTAGCCAGAATTCACATAGATAATGACGTATCAAGGGAGGTCAAGATCCAGAGGGGAGTCCGACAAGGAGACACATTATCTCCAAAGATATTCACAGCCACTATAGAGGAAGTATTTAAAAAGTCGCATTTAAATGGAGGAATAAATATTGATGGGGAAACACTTAACGATCTAAGATTCGCTGATGATGTGGCCTTGATCTCAACATCAACCAAAGACTTGGAAGACCAGCTGACAGGTCTCAACAGGGAGAGCAAACGTATTGGCCTAACTATGCACAAAGAGAAAACTAAATATATGACTAACTATGACACAGATGAAAACATCGAAATAGAAGGTCGAACGTTAGAGAGAGTGAGCAGTTACAAGTATCTGGGACAAACTTTGAAAATGGAGGACACCACAAAAGAAGAAGTTATGATGAGAGTAAAAGCAGGATGGATGAACTTTGGAAGATACAAAGACATGTTGACTGATAAAAACATACCCATGCCACTAAGAAGAAGAATGTTCAACCAATGCATTTTAACAACTATGACATATGGATCAGAAACATGGTCATTGACAAAGGATCTAGAACAAAAGCTTGTGACTACTCAACGAGCTATGGAGAGAAAGATGTCGCATTTATCTCTGCAAGACAAAATCAACCACAAAGTCATACGCCAGAAAACAAAGGTTAAAGACATCATGGAGAAAGTCAGAGAATCAAAGTGGAGATGGGCTGGGCATGTAGCAAGACTTAAGGACAATAGATGGACAAATCGTTTAACAGAATGGGAACCAAGGATGGGAAAGAGAAGAAGAGGAAGGCAGAAGAGAAGATGGAGAGATGACCTAACATCATACATGGGAACGGCCGCTTGGACTAGGACAGCTAGAGACAGAAGAGAATGGAAATTTCATGAGGAGGGCTTTGTCCAACGTCTGGATGAACTATAGCCTGATTGATTGATTGATTGATTGATTGATTTATGAATGTTTGCACGTGTTTTCTGGATTTTTATGAGCAAATAAATTGAAATTGAAATTGAAATTGAAATCACAAGAGCTGTCTATTGACAAGGCTCGCCGGGTTTACGTTTATCAGACACGAAATGATTTTTGACATCTAATAAACCCGTTCAAAGTACTGTTTATTTAGGGATAACATTACATCATGAACTTTCCAAGATAAGCACGATTAAAAGGTTCAAAGTGATACCAAAATCATCCTGTAGAAGCTTCTTTTCACAAACAATCCAAGCATAAAAGATTATGAGCATGGCTTATCGGAATTATATTTATGTTGGGCCATTAAACACGAATTCTACTATGCTAGGTCCGTAAACTTACAAAATAATCATTGATGATAAAGCGTCTAAAATTTCCCGATGAACCTATAATCATATTTCGAGTTTCATACATGGACAAATAAATACTAACATGTATCATTTCTTTAAAACCAACGCCTTTAAAATCGTTAATTTGAAATAATAATATCTCATTTTAATACAGTATTTTGAATAATAATTTCGAGATTATAAGGCAGTAAAACCGTATTAAACAGTCTTTAACCAAATCAAAAGCATTAGGTTATGAAAAATTAACAATGAAGGCATAACATTTGTCATACTTGAATTATAAATTTCATGAAATACCATATCATTAACATGATTAATCCCAATAATAAAGATGCCACAATGGTTTAAGGCCTGGTACAAAGCTCTCTAACAAAACAAACAAATATCTTCTACAATCCCTTGACCAATATACTTGAGAAGAATCGAGTTACGGATTTTTAAAGACATGGATGGTTGGCCAAATTTTGAACCTCGATCGCGGTGAGCACTCGGCCATAGATCTTGACCTCGTCAATCAAGCCATAAAAATACTCGTTACTTTTCCCTGGACCTGCTTGACCAATAGTGACCGGTGTATTGCGTGTTAGAATGGGGCCAGTGCAACAGTTCTGGTTGTTGGCTGTCTGCTGCTGACCATTGAGGTAGTAGAGCAAGGTAGACCCGTCATAGGTCATGGTCACGTGGTTCCAGGTGTTCTGCAAAGCGACAAGATGTATGTAGTCCCAGGTAGTAGACGCAGCGGTTGTAACGACACCACCGCCTAACATCTGACCGCTGTTCTCCCTACCCATTCTGATCTCCCAGCTCCCTGTAGTGTAATACCCATTATTGATGATGCCCTGGTAGTTCCCCCACTCACCGGTTCGCTTGAACCATACACTGACACTGAACTCCGTGCCCCAGGCGAAGTTGGCAAACGACTGGACGCTCATTTTAGACGCACCGTTAAAGGACGCGGCCTGACCGCATTGGCCAGCCGCGTAAGAAACATCGCCGGTCGTAGTTCCGTCGCGGTTGTTACCGGAGCTGTCAGTAACGTCTCCCTCAAGCGGGTAGTAAGCTGGAAGAAAACCAAGGGTAAAATACCGAGACATCACAACAGGACAATGCTCTTTTTCCGACAAGCTACTAACAGAAAAACATTCTTATTTTCAAATTTGGGGACCAGGCCGAACGCTAGTATTACAATTGTCAATTTTGCGAGAGTACTTCCCAACAAGCTAAAGACAAAGGCTTGGAAATCGCTTGTGTAAATATCTACATCTATTAAAAAAATAAAATAAAAAAAAAGCTTTCGCATCCTGACACTCGGACGTCAGTGCTTCGGTGGCTACTGCTTAATGAACTAGTCTTCGGGTTAGCATTGTACTTGGGTTTCAGTTGATGTTTACAGTTGTAGTTAGGTTTGGGATTAGTTCAATCCTTGGGATTTCGTCTAGTTTATACAAATGTGATTGGAACAGTGTTCACAGGAGCACGTGTCATAAACGCATTGTATGTGTTTTACAAAACACAATCTGCGGACAGATATGACAGAACACTTACGTGGGATAGCAAGTTATGCTCAGGGACATCTTTGAAAACGGGGAAGAGGAGACCAAGAATTGGGATGGTGTCAGACTAGATAGGTGACAGATCATAATTATGACATAAGGACGAAAAAGGGATACAGATAGAGAGGGATGGAGAAAGAACAAAAGAAGGCTCTGGTGTGTGGACCTAGCTGTCTTTGACAGAACACATGCGAAAGAGAAAGAGAGAGAGAGAGAGAGAACTTCTTTTCTCCAACATTTCCCGAGCTGCATTTCAACGGCTAACGGTAAATGCTTCCTAAGCATCCTGGTTATACTGATTACTATAATTATATATATTTTTTTTTTAGGGGGGGGGGATGGGGGTCACAATGACTATTATAAATATTTTCTTTAACTTCATCGTAATTTCTTTTTTTATAGTCTTCTACCTCATGCGAAAGAATAATAATAATCATTATATATACATATGCGGAGATCGCTGTATTGCGAGACGAAGGAAGGAAGGAATGAAGGAAGGGAGAGGGAGTGTTGATATAAATTATCCTACCATTCAAACTCAAGCGCTCAGCTTTTCAAACGTACCAACTGTAAGTAGTAAATCTCAATTTTTTTCAAATTTGAAGACTAATGTTCTTTTTTTGGCAATTCCCTCTTACATTTCAAGAGGACGCTCCTGTGAGAAGAGTTTGGGCCCTCTATGGTGAACTGTGAATTGTGACCCAGACCTGTACCTACAATACTGATGATGTCAGCCTTTTGATAAAAAAGGAAGACAAATGGGGCGGAATGTTATCAACTCACCAATCAAGCAATCATGAGGGCAGGACGAACACGCCATTACCGTTGATATCATAAGCATGATCGTCGCTATAGGAGGGCTATTCAAGTGTTCATTATCGGTGAACTATAGAATATAGATAAGAAACATTTTCTGACTGTGGTTATTGTAATGCATAAGACGTAGATGTAGACTCTGATTGGGGTGTTCTCAATATAATTTAAATTATGAAAGTTAGTAACATATTGTGAATATTCATTACAAGTTTAATGATAAAAGTGACCAATTAATTGAAGTATTCGGGATAATTATAAGGTAGCATATGTCCTTACTTGCAAAATCTAACTTTTACGAACACTATGAGTTAAAGGTCTCACTGTATCGAAATATTTCTAAATATGGTAAAAAAAAATTCCTCGGTAGAAAATTCAAAGCATTGAATTTCTGTATCGTTCAGAGCATTGCGACTCTACAGTTGTCAATTGTATGCTCTTTAAGCTTTACTATTATTGATATTTATTATTTGGATTTTGTTTCTTCACGAAATGCATAGATTGTAGCCTAATGAAAACAATCAAATAACATTTTTATTGGAAAACAATGATACACAACGAAACCAAGTTTTCTTACCCCATACTGTAGAATAAATTAGAAGTGGCTCTTGCTCGAGATGACTGTAACTAACAAGTGTTGTCTTGAAAATGATTAAAGTGATATTGAATTGAAATCAGGACCGATACTTTATTTTCTTCTAGTCACGTAAACACCATGTACAGATGACGGTAAGTATATTCAAGGGCAACAGAGGAGGTTAGAATCCGGTACAGCAGAAATTTAAAAGAAATCAATACGCGAATACCAGCACGCATGTCCACTCGACTGGTATCTGAAAGGGATTTACTTGTTTGAAGTGAAAAGAAGATAACATCGAAGGTCAGCCGCGTCTATGAACGTGGGCAAGGTCAAATTTTAAAAGCATAATAGACGTAGATAATTCAAATTGTACAAAAATGGTTTATCAGTATAGAATTTCACGATTAAATACACAAAAAACTTATCATTGATATAATGGTGGTCGCTCTCTTGAACTACAACATGTACAGCTATTATATAGGTTTTCCCGCCCAACTTCGTAAACTCAGCATCCGAATTAACGTTACGTTCAATCAAGTTCGTGCGAAATTGAATGACTATGTAGATCAACATTCAAAAAGCTAATTGCGTCATTCAATTTGATTTAGTAGCATGCGATTTCATACTCTTGTCACGGAGACGTGCAAAATGAGCATTCAATTTAGAAAAGCGTGCAAAGAGCATTCAAATTCGCGCCGGACAAACGGTGGTATGTCTTCGTGCATTTAATTTCGTGATTATGCATACATTTGTGACATTAGTGCATTGCTTTTCATTTGATGTTAATTTGTCACTTAATATACTTCTGTTTGAATAATTTTATGCAAAGTTTACTTGGAGAAATGACATGCGTATTCGTTATGTCATTACACAGGTAACTGTCCCCAGAGAAGGTGCACATTTTTTTTACTTCTCTTCTAAGCACAAGATCTTGGACAGATGTAGAGTTCAGGTTTAATAGACATGGACGTGATGTAAAACAAAATACAATGATGAATAAAGAAAAAGATGTTAAATGAAAAGAAAGAAAAATCACCTACTCAATCAAGATTGATAAAAAAAAAAACGTTTACAAAATAACCCCTAAGGCATTTATAATGAAACATATGAAGATATGAATAAAGTGATGTTTCGACAAAAATAAAGAATGTCGAAAGAATGCAATTTAAATATATCAGACAAATTAGAAGATTTTATAATGTGAAATCATGTTAGAAAAGATCATAGAGAAAAAGAATAAATAAATGAACATGAAATACTGAATATCCGAATAAACATCGAGGCTCATACTATGATTATGAGGTCTAGTTTTAATTTGAATGACCTGATTACGAAAGAGGTTGCCCATAGACGAAAATGAAACCGCAATTAACCAAAGAATTCACCTCCCATTCAACATTGGCGAAATTGAATGACCCTTACGCATTTCCAAATTGATTGAACCAAGCTTAAATTTGAATGTGCATGTTTAGAAAATTCGGTGACTCAAAACGAAATTGAATGCAACAAGTTTAAAAATGAAACAGGGGAGCAACGAGTGGAGAAAATTTGCTCGAACATCAATGCACGTTAATGAAAAAGGTTGCTGCCTTTACGAAATTGGCCGGGAAAACCTATATTAGCTTAAAATAAATATTAGGTATTTATGAAAAAAACGATTTATATAAATGATAATAATAATAATAATAATGGGTGCTTGTATAGTGCTCATGTCAGTCAGATTTGACCCTCCTGGCGCTCTCGAGTATTACCCTGACTTTAGCACGGCTGCCATACGGCTGCCAAATGATTATTGCTATACTTTTATTTGGTAGAACAAGATGTTTTTCAAAATTCTTATTCTGTTTGGCAAATATTTGCAGCACCGGCCCAGCAAGATTTAAATTGCATGTATTATGTTTATCAATCCATCAACTCAGTGGCTTTTTTCTTTTGTTAAACCCCACATATTACTATTATCATTCAAAATCATGATATATTGGTATACAGTTGTTTAATGGATCCTATTGAAGATTAGCCACTTATAAAACAAGAAATAAACGACAACGACAACTACTTCTACTATATACTACTCCTTCTACTAATATTAAATATTATCAATCACACCAATAATGATGATAATAGTACTATTAACACTAGTACTACTACTAGTACTAAAACAACTCTCTCTCTCTCTCTCTCTCTAAGTGCCATATCGTTTGACTTTTGCGATCATGCTGTTCCACAACCCTCGGCTCCTAGCCTTCTGTATTAGTACCACTCCCAGTTCTTTCACTCCTCTCTCTTCCAACAATTTTTGCAGACTGTCTATTCAAAGTATCCTCCTTCTTCCCCTACTCCTTCTACCAACAATTTTCCCTGTCAAAGCAATATTCTCTAAGCCTTCTTTACGTGTAATGTGACCCATGAACTTCAACTGCCTAATCAACATCATTTTCCTTTGCACTCCAGCTCGTGTAAGAACTTTCTCATCACTAACTTTGTCAGTCCAGGGGATTTTCATCATTCTTCTTAAAAACCACATTTCGCAACTTTCCAAACGCTTTTTAGTATCAGATGCTAATGTCCATGTTTCACTACCATACATAAGTACTGGGTAGATGTAACAATTCAATACTCTTATTCTGTTCCTCATACTCATTGTTCGATTTGTCAGAATTTTGCCCAACTTTGAAAATGCGGATTTAGCGAGAGCTTTCCTTCTCTTGATCTCTGTCTCACATCTGTCATCCTCGGTGATCATGCTGCCGAAGTAGTTAAATGAGGAGACTCGTTTAATAATCTGTTCTTTCAGTTTCAAGTTACATTTTGGACTGCTCTTCTTGTATACCACCAGGCACTTTGTCTTGGTATACGAATATTATTATTACTACTACTACAACTACTACTACTACTTCTACTACTACTACTACTACTACTACTACTACTACTACTACTACTACTAATACTACTATTAGTTTTACCGCTGCAACTAAGACCATTTATGACCACTGAGCATGATATATCAGAAGTCAACATTTTACCCAGCGGTGTATGAGTATTACCATTAAACAACTGCTATTTTCATAGAAAGGCGCTGCTTATTTTGCAAGCTAATAAATTTGGCAATCTTCCACAATTCCTACAGATAGAGCAGAACCTAAATATGGTAGCTGCTGGCTGTTTCGAATAGCGACTCGAGTACAGAGCCGAGTGTAGTCTTGTATTGCAGACACTGTTACTCACGACGGCTGACAAGGGTTTGTGCCTGAAAAACAAGGCTCGGTTCTACTCTACTCTTAACCTTGACCTTCACCCATTATTATATTCTTATATTATTTATATTCTTGTATAAATTATGGTCAGCACACTCACGGAAACGAATGGAAGTGTATAATGAAACTATAATCAATCATAACATTACACATGCCAATGTCACGTGGTATCCAATACTTATACAAGTAGTTTTAATATATATTACCATAGTAATGACTGATGCATTATCTTCAACATCGTGAGAGTTAAACAATGAATAAATAAAGATCTCAGTTACGCCTTCGTCCACATGATCATTATGTGCTTAAAATGTACAGATCGGCATAATACATTTACGAACACGATTTATGAAATACGGACCTTCGAACAAATGTTATGCCTTTATAGTCGGACGTTAATAACTTGTTTTGAAGAAAGTTAAATGATTGATAATAAGTGTACAATTTTGTTCACGTCACGTCGATGGATGAGGACTATTGCACTACCCTACTTGCACCAACAGATGGGGCTGATGGATTAAAATGAATCGAGGGTCGGGTGACATCCAAATATAAGTTGCTTCCTGTTGATGTGCAGGGCTGCATACAACTCATTTTTGTTATTAAAACATCTAAATATTGTTCATAGATTTGTAAATAGTTTAAAAAATAATTTTATCCGACACGCTAAGGTCCACCCTAAGAAAATGTTCCAGATCTCATTCATCTTGTGACATCATCTGGCAATCACTAGTGAGCTAACAAGAGACAGTGATATAGCTTTACCAGAGCTGACCACCTATTTACAATAGACCATACAACACCAACATAGGAGTTGCTATGTCAGACGTGCTGTAGAATCACCAGGAAAAAAAGGTAATGCGAAGGTATTGTATGGAAAGAAGCAATTATTGTGTGAGCATGTGCTGTGCTGAAAAAAATTCATCGAAAAATTCAGAAAAATTATCCTACCACTAAAACTAAAGTCCTTCAATTCGTTAATGTACGAACACTAGTAAAACTCGTTGTTTCAATTTAGACGACAAAGGTTCGCATTTTTTCCGTGGACCAGAAAAAGCTGACAAGTTTGTTTGCAATCCGCTCTAATATTTTTAACTTAATTAGGGACGCTGTTAGCAGAATTTCGGCCCTCTACGATGATCCAGACTCGGAACGACATTGCTTCTGTGATGATGTCATCCTTTTGATAAAACAAACAAACAAGATTATAACGAGCCACTCAGGTGCGGAATGTTAACAGCTCACCGATCAAGCAATCACGAGGGTTTAAAGAACACGACATCACCGTCGATATCATTAACATGGTATTCACTGGAAGGACTAAATTGTTCATTATCGGCAAAATGAAACAAACAATGGCAACAATTTATGTTTGTGCTTATTGTTTGACAATCCCTTTAACTGAGAACACTACGAAACCGTAATTGCAGGGCTAGAGTGGGTTTTTCTGAAAATAATCTATAATATCAGGGGGTAATTATCATGAACATTCATCGCCTCTTTAATAAATTGAGGCCATCATTCAATTGAAGTATTTGGTAATTGTAGTAAAGCTACAATAATGACCTACAATAATACACGTACTTTAAAATTTAAAATAAAACACTTTAATTGAACATTTTTAATGAAGTGACATTTTCTTTTTAAGGTGAGAACTTCAGCCCGAAATACAATTTCAAAATCATTGTATAAACAGTAAGCGCAGAGAAGGCCTCGATAGTTGATATGCGCTATAAAAATAATCTGTATTTTTGTTCTTATCATTTCGTGTTTTGTACACTACATGTATAATTCGTAGCCTATGCTGGAGTGGAAACAATAAAATATCATCTTTCTAATGATAATGACATACACAACCAAACAGAGATCTCTCACATACTGTATAATTAATGAGAAGTAGCTTGTGCACGAGATGATTGGAGCCGACAGGTGTTGTCTTGAGAATGATTAAAGTGATATTGAATTGAATTTCGGACCGATACTCTATTTTCTTCTAGTCAGGTAAACACCATGTGAGTAGGATAGTAGGTATACCTAAGGGCAGACAGTAATCGAAAACGCTTGTGGAGTTCAATCCATGTTTCTTGTGTATTCCATCTTGCGTTGTGAATAATATATTTTCTTCTTCATGTATAAACAGATATATATTTTTTTTAAATATAGGGTGGGCAAACAACGGACTAGAATACTGCAAATAAAGCAGGGGTAACTTCACAGGTACCCGTCTACACACGAACTCAAGAAATTAATAAATCACACATAAATCTAAGCTTTACTTCGAGGTATTTTTTTTCATTTCTCTTTCTCTCTCTCTCTCACTCTGTTTTTTTTTATATACAAATTATATGATAACAAATAACTCGGAATCTTGGCAAAGCACCAAGTATTCTGCCGTCGACTCTACGAAGCTATATTTTCCAATGAAAGAACTTGATAATACCCCCTTTTGGATCATCCTCCATTCATCAGCATCAATATCCGTGAACAATCTCGACACATTTCGCAACCACCACGAAATAGTATTTGAATAGCGCCACCACTACACGTGCATCGAAGGAGTTAGCTGACGGTATATATGCCACTCTATGTAATGCCAATTTCAATTGCGTTTGGCCTACTGTTCTTCGTCATTATAATCATCGTCTTAATGCAAAAGTTGCAAGTTTGCCGATGTATTGGGACTCACGAATCTAGTGTTCCACCGACTTCTCCGAAAGTAATTCGTTTTTCATGTTAAGAGGTCTCCTTCACGTGACGTACAAGAAAATACTTTTTGTGAAATTCCTGATTCTAAATTACGCCCTTCAATTTCAAGCAATTATTGGAAGCTTAAGAAACACATTTCGCTCAGAGGACAGCATTTATCTTTTGATAGCGCCATAGTTTGCTGTGTTCAAATGCTACTTATCAATGAATCAATAAATCATTAAATCAAATCAAACAAGCTGTTTGTTTAACTAATATTCATTAATAAATTGATACTACATGTACTAGTACTCTACATGTAATCTACGATTTGCAAAGACCGAGACCTAGTTTTTGCGAAGTAACTCATTTAGATGAAATGAGAAATACCAGTGACTACCATCATGAAAGCAAAGAGGAATTGTTATCCATGCTTAGCCTATATGAATTTATTGCTATATGGCGCCAAAAAAATCCTGTATCTAAGAAACATACTTGGAGAAGAAAAGATTTAAAGAGCCAGAGTAGGTTGGATTATTAACGCAAGAGAGTGTCAGGATGTTGTATCATGTTATTATTCCTTCCCTCTATACATACCACTCAGTGATTACTCTATTGGAATTTAAAAAATAAAAAAACAAGATGATGGATATTCGGAAGTTCGATGCTTCTCTATGTTCAAGTATTGTGAATCCTTTAAAAGAATGTGATTGGTTTGGAGAAATAAATGCGCTTCATTTGACCCCGGGTTTTCATGGGAAGTTCAAAATACGACGAATGACACGAGCAAGAAGTACGAAGAAAACGAAAAGGAAAAAAAGAAGGGAAAGAATGAAAAAAACGAGAGATGATGCACAAATATATAAGATCAGTAGGAAAATGAAACTGCAGCAAATTCCTATTCATTCTTTCACATATGCCCTGAAGGGTGAGAAATCAATCAGTCGCTCTTAATATTTTCGCTCTAAAAATTTTGGACAAAGAGTTATGGAAATTAACCTGCCAGAGTGACGTCTACACATTCCTTCCTTTATACTAAAGTCTGTTCTACCCGAAAGCTTAGAATTCCATTCTTTAGTTAGCAAAACGATTCTCCCTGGGTTATTTTAACAGCTTCCTGGTTAGTTGTAGCTGGTAAGGTTCTGAGTAAGGTTTTAGGAAAGACCATTAATAAGCTGGGAACTTTAGAAGAGGACGCTCTTTCCACTTATATTATTTTGTATACGTCTGTCTGTCTGTCTGTCTCTCTCTCTCTCTGACAGACACACACAAACAGACAATCAAACACTGGTTCTCTCTTCTTCTCTTTGTTTCTCCGTCTATCCCTCTTTATCTTCCCTCTCTGTCCCTCTCTCTCTCTCTCTTCCTATCTCCTCCTCCAATTCCTCTCTCCGTATATAAAAGACCCACTCTTGCTTGAATATCACAGCAAAACCAACTGTCACACACATGTAAAGGTGTAGGGGACTACACACATGAAATTCAGTCCAGCTTTTTAAACTCATAGGGCATTTTTACGATGATATACACTGTATATATTTTCAAATAGGAGTAAATGACATATATATTATTTGTTTTTTTTACCAGACTAAATCACTCTTTAATTGTAGGAAAGTACTAGTCATTATGCATGAAAATCATATTCAATAGGGATGAAAGTCCTACTCAATACATAAGAGGGTAAGAAAAAAACCTGAGAACAATTTATTTTCATTTAGGTATTTATTAGCAAAGCGAGCAAATTCGATCATTCCTTTTGATCTGCCACATCCATTATTCAATGAAAAAAAGGGTAGTTACAGAACAGATTAAAGAACAAAAAGCCTTCACATCTCATGGAATCCATATATGCAGTCCATCTTGCATATTATTATAATTAATACGTTATTATAACCCGCTGAAACACATAGAGGTTTGAAGTTTGAAGTTTATTTATTCCACATTTTACATTAAAAAACAGTTTAGATTCTTTCTTTTTCTATATAATATACAGGCGTTTATTATAAGAGTATATTTCACACAAGAACAAACAATTAAAGATTTCAAATCAAGTATAATGTACAGAAAATAAGTACGACATTTAAAAATATGTAGATATGACAGGCAAGGTCAAAACAATTTAAAATGTGGGGAGCCTAAATAAAAAGCATAGCTTGTATGTGAATAGGCTCCCGTACTGAGTAACACAATATAGTAGGTCTGAATTTAAAAGATATGAAAGGAGGCGAAAACAGAGTAGTATAGCATAGATAACTGCATAATATGCATACCATACTCAACAATACACTAGATATCAAATTTCAGTTTATAAAAACTCAACAGTAGGCAAAATATTGTAAACTATGTATTATAAATTGTAAATAATTCATTAACGATATACATGTATCAATAAACAATATACAGCATTAGCTATTACCACTAAATACTATCAATACTCCTTCCAAATTTCATGTCGTATGATCAACAATATGTGAAGAAAATTTCTATTACTATTACCATTCCAGTATAATGCAAAGTAAAACTCATAAACCTCTACGAAGACGCTATTAAACAGACTGTATTGGATATAACTACATGTATTCGTTGAGTTGGTATCTGTGTCGCTTGTCCTGTCTTTCTTGTTTTATATTTACACTTCTGATATGTTTGCCCTTTAAATATGGATTACATTCAACTACAATAAAACACAACACTGTCAAAAAAGATATTACTTCATGCATGGCTACATAATTATGCCGTTTTCATAGTTTGAAAACGTTCTTTATTCTAGAGAAAAGAGAGAAAGCGAATTTGTTCAAGCTTTTAAAAACGAAGTGCAAAAAAAACTATTGAAATTCAGGAGAGTATAGCATTGTTTATAGTGCATAATAACTAGCTTATGGATTTTGGTTGTTGTTGTTGTTGATTTTGTTGTATTGAAGCGACATTAATCACTATTAAAAGTAATATAACCCACTGAGGTGTATGGAAGCATATTGATCATATATGAACCTAAAAAAAAGTGTTTTGTACATTATATACATCTATGTGATTTATTCAGTGTAACAAAAAACATTCATGTTTGAATAGAAGAACATTGGAAGACAAAGTAAACTATATTGCAAAGTGATAATATTATTTACAAAGGAAGATAATTTTACAAATTTATTTCGTTTGCTAAATTATTAAATACATTAGGAAATTACTTCTTTTATACATACATGTATCATTGTTACCTTCGTCGGATATCTGTAAATTATATATAGGCAACATATATTGTATAGCCATAAATCAGAATATGTACATACATAATTGTGTTCATTAATCAATTATTGCTTTTATTTTGTCTCTCCTCGCCATGGCTGATATTTTGGCGTATAACAGTTTTTCGGTTATTCTTTAATAGGATAATTAGACCCTTTGTTACCAACATACTTTTGTAATATGAGCAAGTACGTCGGTATGAACGTCAAAGATAACTTCAAATCTAAGCATATAATCCACCACTGAATACAA